AATTCCAATTACTAATATTAACAAAGCAGATTCCAAGGCACCTGTACAACTCATCCAGCATATATCCTAAAATACTAGTTTACTTCAGCAATCGTAGCAGTTTGTGCCAAAGAGGAATTTAACTTGAAACACATTTTTCTGCATAGGATCTGGCTTAGCTGGCTACATGTAACAAATCAGGTAATGCCTGAAATAGTCAAAAGTACTTTAAAGGCTCTTAAAAAAGAAAATATGTTGGCAGCTATTTATCAGTGTTCTTCTATGAACTTCCCATTTTTGCTGTTGGCCTCTGAAAGGCAAGTAAAAACTGCCAAATTAAAAATAAATAAATAAATAAATAAGGCAGTATAAGCAACAGTTGAAGGATAATCTATTTTAATATACACCGTTCCAAGGAAGCAGAATCGAAACGCTGAATTTAAGTATTTTAAGTATTTTAACAATTAATGCAGATTTCATAACTGCTAAAATAGAATTATGAATTAGCACAGCAACCAGCGTTATTAAAAAGGAAAAACCCAGTGTACTACACAGATTAACAGCATTGTTTACACAGTCAAAAAACCCCCAAACTTCAGTAGCATGATTGACTAATATGGAACATATGACTGTTGAGTAAATGATAGAGCTGTGTTACAGTGTCTCATGGGGATGCACCACTGGGTCCCCTGGCAGTGGCATTCTGCAGCTCTCTCCTAGACAGGCGTGGAGCAAGAGGAGCAGGAATGGGACAGCACTGCTTTCACTCCACAAAAAACTACCCCACCCTGGAAAAGGCCCCACTCATCACAATATTTTATCAAGAACAAAGGAAAAGTGCCAGAAGTGATAGTTATAATTCTAGTAATATTAGTAATAACTAGAACGCCTCAAAAAAAAAAAAAAAAAAAAGACAAACCCAACTGTTACCATCTGTGATGATTTTATACAAAAGTATGAGGACAGGAAAATATTCTATGTTTTAAAGTATAAAATTTTTATCTATTTACAATGCTACTTATGTTCAAGTGACACTACAGAAATTCCTCAAGTCCTCTGAAATAGTTTTTCAGCTTACTCCTTGCTTAATTTTTCTGTTCTAATTATTAATTAAAGACTGTTATGCAACATTTGGTTCAGTCTATCTCCATTGTCTATTAATAATGATTTTATTCTGGCATACAGAGTTTACTCTAACAGTTGTTTTTTCCTGAAAAAACTTTATGTGGCAAAAGCATGACAACAAAAATTAAGCAAAAAAGCAGAAATAACATTTCCCACAACAAACTTTTCCACGAAAGAAGAAAGGCTGACAAATTCTTGAGTAAGTCCAGAATGTTACTGAACTCCAAATATGTAATGGGGGTTTAACATGCAAAATGTTTTTCAGACCTGTAGCATGCTAAGAGCAGTCCAAAGTTTCCAAAATTGGCTGTATACAGACTTCCACTGCCTGCTGAAGACATCACTCCTCTGGAAGTGGAGCTCATAGAAGCAATGCCAGAAAACACCCATCAATTAAATTGTCTACATGGGGATTTCAGTATTAAAATCACAGTTACAAACAGCAAAAATGCTTTGGCATAGTGTTTTTTTGGCTATGTTCCAGCTGTCCCTAGCAATGCAGGTAAGGTTTGGAACTCTCAGCCAGCTAAAGGAGATACAAGGGATATACAAGGGAGACATGCTGAATAAATATGTAATAGAAAAAAAAGAAATTAAGTCAAATATTTTAATTAAAATCTTTCATCAAGAAATATGACCACAGTTAGTTATTCATCTCAACTGATCAAGCTACAGTAGTTGACTAATGTGTGTCACGACTAATCTTCTAAAAACTGTAGCATTACAATCAGAAAAAGTTTACTCTGATGCAATTAAGAATAAATCCTAAATATTTTGACTGTCCTAATAATTTCTAATCTATGATTTTTGAAATTCATTGAAGGTTTTTTCTGAATATGATTACTCTTCAAAGCTTTTATTTTTAATTTGTGATACTTTGACTTCTCATGTAAGTGGTTTCCTCACAAACAGAAGCTCTTTGGTGGTTACTCAATGCTACAACGTATGACATTTCTGCTATGAGAGGAGGACAAGTCATGTTACAAGTGGAATTTCTTCATTTTTTCAGTTCCACTTCAATTCCACTGCGTCTGCTTTGCTCTGAAGACTAAAGATTTCACGTGATCTTTTCATCTTAACTAGGAGCTCTATATATCAAAACCATTAGTTCAGCAGGAAACTCCCAAAAGTTACTGTATTTTCTAATAACTCTGAAAGCTAGACAATGGGTAGACAGAGTAAGCTCACATTCCCAGAAACCCAATCCCACAATTGTGTGACTGATTTCTATCCTATTCTCTAATTAAAGAACTAACACTCTTTCACAAAACTGATCAAAGCTATACTTTTTTTGTACAGTTCTGTGGGGTTTTTGTTTGTTTGGTTGGTTTTGTTTATTTGTGGTTTTTGTTGGTTTTGCTTTTGGTTTAGTTTTTTTTTTTTATGTTGTTTCTTCATTGATTTTCCTGACTTTCCTCCACTTTTTAATTAGTTCTTCAGGTATGCCGTATAAGACAGACCTTATAGAACAAAAGATAGCATTCAGTCTTTCACACCCACTCTCATGTACACAGGAAGGGCCTAGGCACCCTCTGCTATAGACTGAGCCTTGTTAAGACACACTATCTGTTATGAGGTGGGCAAAATACCTCATAAGATGGGATGTGAAGATGAGAAAAAAAGTTTAAAAAAGCAGCAATGAAGAAACAAAAATAATTTCCTCTGTCTTTAGTCATGAAAAAGTTTTGCAGTGCTTCAGGGAAGCAAGAAAGATCTTTTTCCATACTGGTAAATACTGCTGCACATGTGTTAAATTAATCCCAGATAATGGTCTCTAATGCCAAAGCTCCAAAGTCCTGGTGTATGAAAAAAGGACTGTTGAGAAAGAACATGCAATGACACCTCCTGAATTCAGAGCTTGCTTTGCACCTGGCTCAGCTTCCCTGCAACAGTTAGAAAATTGTTTAAAAGCAACAACAACCTTTGTGCTGCATTTACTTTGGAAATTCTTTTGAAGTGCTTCTAATTTGCTTCTGATAGTTAGGCAAACTGGTCAACCTCTACTTCCACGTGTACGCCTGTGCTTGTGACAAGATGACTTTCTATTTTTGTAAAAAGCAAAGAGCCACCAATACCAGCAAAATGTAAGGAAAAGTGCTGTTTGTTTTTTCTGAGCAGACCAGACCACCACCACTGCTATAGTTTCTTTATCCCTGTACGTGTTAAGTAAAAATCAAGTTTTTTGTAAAACTGCATTTTAGTTTTCAAAGCAGTTAGATAACAACACTAAATAAAACCTGATCAAATAGAAACCAGCTTTTTTTCTTCATGTCTGCCCATATAGAACTGAAAAGTAAAACTCTTAGTTGTCTTTCCCACAGTACAAACTTGTCCTCATATATTTTGTTCTGTCAGTACTTTTGTCATCAGCATATTATGATGTTATCATGACTTTACTGATAGCAAGTCCACAGGCATCATTTTCATAGGCTTAAAGGAAATAAAAGAGATGGAAGATGATAAGACTGACAAATAATAGAGTTTCATAATACATTTTGCTTTTACACCAGAGAAGAGATTATTCTAAGGATACAAATGTCATGTTTTGGGACAGAGGTTTTGTGTTCTTTGTAGCAACTAATGTCACTAAGTGCACAAGGGCAATAGACCAGCAGGTGTGAAATCCAGCATAATGTGACGATTCATCCTTGACCGCCATAGCACAGATCACTAGCACAGAAACTCCTATGGCCATACCTGTGGTTATAGGTCTTGTATGGCCATTTCTGGATAGGGACTACACCACCACCATCACCACTTGGGTGAAAGCTGCACACAGGCACTGCATAGTGAGTGCTGTGCTTCTGTCAGCCCGGATAAGACTGACTATAATCGTAGGGCTTAGACAGCAAGTGTAACCCTATTTCCAATTAAGACACGATCGTCTCACAGACAAGACCGAACAAATTCTCGGTACAGACACATATATACATGCCTTGAACGTACACACACACACACACTTCCTGTGCTCGGTACCCACACTAACAGAGGCCAGAAACAGGCAGTACAGCAGATCTTCCCTCTGGCAGCGGGACATGCCGCCCTGATGCCGGAGCACCGGCTGCCGCCCGTCCTGTGCGGCATCACCCCGTCGCACCGCGCCACTCTGTGATGCGCGGCCCGGCGGCCGTGGGGGTGACACGGGCTCGGCCCGGCACACGGACAGCGGGACCCCTGCCCGGGTCCTACGCTGGAGCACGGCGGGCCGGGCAAGCGGCAGCCCAGCTCCGCGGCCAACGCCGTCTGCGCCGCGGCCCCTTCGGAGCGGGCAGCCCGCGGTGCCGCCGGCCGCACCCGAGGGGCCGAGGGGCGAGGGGCCGCGCCCTGGGGCCGGCCGCACGCACAGGTGCCCCCGCCGCCTCCGGCCCCGCCGCCCCCGCCCCGCGCAACCTGCCCTGCCCGGCGCGGCCAATGGGGCGAGAGGGCGGGGAGCGGCGGCGGAGCGGCCCGGGCCGCCCCCGCCCTCCGCGGCGAAACTCGGCGGGAGCGCCGCGGCAGCGGAGACGGTGCCCGCGCCCCGCGCCGCTCTGCTCCGCGCAGCGCAGCGCACCGCCGGCCGGCGGCGGGGGATGAGCCGCGGCCACCGCGCTCCGCCACCTTCTCACGCCGCCCCGGGGACACCTGGAGCCGCCGCCCCAGCGCCGCGCTGAGCGCTCCCCGGCGTCGGTGCGAGAGGCGGTGAGGCGGCTCCGCTCGGGCCGCCCCGATCCCCCTCCGGGCCGGGCGCGGAGCTCTGCGTCAGGAAGAGGCAGCCCCGGCTCTCTTGGCTGCGGTCGGTGGTTGACGGACGGCACCCCGGTTCGGCCTCATTTTAGGACTTTTTTTTTTCTTTCTTTAACTGAAACACACCGCTTCTTTTTTTTTTTTTTTTTTTTTTTTTTTTTTTTTTTAAAAAAAAAAAAACTTCTTGCGCATTTGAACTTTTTCTTTCGCATTATACTACCCTCTCTCTTCCCCTTCTCGGCTTTTTCTTTTCGGACCCGATCTTGCCGTCTCTCAGCTCGCCAGCTGCAGCGTGGGTATCATGTCATTCGACCCCACCACCATGCCACCTGCGAACGGCTCCGCCAACGGGACTGCCAGCGGGGCCGAAGGCGGGAAGCCCCCCACTATCCCCACTGTCATGTTCATCTTCGGTGTGGTGGGCAACCTCATAGCCATCGTGGTGCTCTGCAAGTCCAGGAAGGAGCAGAAGGAGACCACTTTCTACACACTGGTCTGTGGACTGGCAGTCACAGATCTCTTGGGGACCTGCCTGGTGAGTCCGGTCACAATTGCCACTTACCTGCAGAACCAATGGCCAGGAGGAGCTGCACTGTGTGAGTACAGCTCCTTCATCCTCCTCTTCTTTGGACTCTCTGGCCTCAGCATTATCTGTGCCATGTCTATAGAGAGGTACCTGGCCATCAACCATGCCTATTTCTACAACCATTATGTAGACAAGAAGCTGGCAGGACTCACACTCTTTGCCATCTACGCTTCCAACGTGCTGTTCTGTGCCCTCCCCAGCATGGGGCTTGGCAAATCTACTTTGCAGTACCCTTACACTTGGTGTTTCATAGACTGGCGAACAAAGGTGTCCACCCATGCAGCATATTCCTACATGTATGCGGGCTTCAGCTCCTTCCTGATCCTGGTGACTGTGATCTGCAACATCCTGGTGTGCGTGGCCCTCATTCACATGCACCGCCAGTTCATGAGACGCACGTCTTTGGGGACAGACACCACCTCCAGCCGTTTATCTGACTTTCGCAGACGCCGGAGCTTCCGTCGGATGGCTGGAGCAGAAATCCAGATGGTTATTCTGCTCATTGCCACTTCCCTGGTCGTGGTCATCTGCTCCATTCCTCTGGTGGTGAGTAACATCATGCAGCCCTTTTTCTGTTCCATCACCCTTACTGCAGAAACTTTTCTTCTCCTAGTCTATTTGTCAAACAGGTTCCTGTTGGAATAAGTGCTTGTTTATGGCACCTATAGTTGATGTCACAATTTGTTACAATAACTCAATGGCTGTTAGCATGCATGCATGATAAGAGAAAGTTGGGTAAATTTACATTTACACAAAAAGAAAGCTGCTTATCTTAAGTTCTAGAGTCCTTTACTTGATTAAAACAGAGTGCCAAAAATCTCAATCGTTTCACTTTTCAAGTGGAATCTACATAGTAAAATCCTGAGTGATAAAGGCACTTTAAAGTCCACCTACAAAATTAATTTGTGTTAAGTGAGGCTTGGGGCTGGCCTGCATTTCTGGCTGTTTAGTGTGTCTTTAAAATGTGCATGCTGTTGCTGTTGGGTGCAAGAGTCCCTGATGTGCAAAAGGAGGACAGAGTTGTGTTCACTTGGCACTAGCAACACACAGAGTTCTTCACAACCAAAACCTGAGTTATGCTTCCACTCCTCAGGGATTCATGCACCATCTCTAAGGTAGATCCCACACAGGCATCCTTTCAGGAGTTCCCCACACAGTGGGAGGAGTGAACTCAGTGGAACCACCTGTCGGTGTATAGCTCAGTGAAATGAATGTTGGAGGAATCTGGCACACGTAAACCTTGAGATCACGCTGAAACATTACAACTAACTGTTTGCTCTTCTTCTGAAAAGGTTGATACAATTAAATTGAACACACAGGATCTACTTTTTCTATTCCTCCAACTTATCTTCAGGAAAGACAAAAAATCCAAAGTCCACCAGCTAGAGGCAGAGTTCTTGCTTGCCAACAGCCAAAATAAAGCTTGTCAAAAATCCTGTACTAGTCTGGCTCAGAGACATTAAACAAATAGTTGGCTTGCCCTGTTTGCCATCTTACAAAACACAGTGTAGGGACTAAAGCAGTGGCTGTCAGACAGAAGGTGTTTTTAGAAGGACTCTTTAAAGGAGGTTTCTTGTCAGTAGGGTGGTCCCTGTCATAGAGAGGGGGTGCCATGTATGTCAAATTGAGCTGCCCATGTGGAGATGCAAAACAGTGCATGTATATCGCTGTAAGGAAGTTTGGAGAAGTGCATGTGAACAGGACTTGGGTGTCAGCGAGTCTGTCCCCCTGCTCAGAGAAGCTGTAATGGCAGGGTTGGTCAGAGCTGCCCCATTACTGACAAACAGGAGCTAGTGAAGAGTGGCTGTGCTGCAGCACCAGGCTCCAAGCCATTACCAAAGGCCATCTCCTCTCCTTCGGCATTGTCCCTTGGGGTGGTGGCAGGGCGTGACCGAGCATGGTGCCGTGTTCATTGCCTGACATCCAAAGGAGGCTGAGAGGTGCTGCCTGAGCTGCACACAGGGTGTCCCCGGGAGGAGCACATGCCTTAGACAGAGGAACTGTGCCAGCCTGCCCTGCAGTCCAGCTCCAGCAACGACAGGGGTAAGCGGACTCACTGCACCGGGCAAAATGATGGCAGATAGCTAAAACCCTGACAGTACTGGGGGGTGACAGTACTTAATTTGATTAATCATCAAATCAGCTACTTCACAAGAGAAAAATACCACATTTTCAAAAGAGGTGCTTGATAAATGCAGAGAACAAGTTCTCTGAATTAAATACAGTGTCATGATGTGATGGACTTAAGCAGCTTCAGAAAACAAGCCAAGTCTTATCCTGTAGCAAAGCAGATAGAGGAGTGCTGAGAAGTCTGAATGTGAAACACAAAAGGAAATATACATTTGCACCTAGGCAGTCTTTTAAATAATACTTCAGAAAAAAAAAAAGGGCGGTGAGGGGCAGGAATCAAGAGGGAGGGTTTACCAGAAAGTGAACAGGATTGTTGAGAGTTAAAATTAATGAACCTGGGTGAGGCAAAAGGTTTATTATTTAAACAGTAGCTAGTGAAAAACTTGCATATAGCAGAAGTATGTGAAGGTGCAGGTGATAAAAGTTGTAAAGCTCTCATAGACCTCGATTTCACTTCATACAAAGGCAGTGTTACCTTGGTAATGTTCACATAAGTTAGCTTTTACCTGCTAAAGCAGTATGTATTTTCTCTATCTAAAATGACGTAAGAAACTCTCAATTCATTTAGATAGATGACTAAAAATAAAAGGAAGCTTTTTCTAAAAAACAAACCCAAATAACCACATATGTACACATCATCACAGTGTCCAGTGTGTTTAAATTTCCTCATTGTTGAGTAGCTTTTTTAAGTCTTTTGCCTCCTTCTGCGGGAATAAGCCACAGCCACTTGTGCTGCTTTGTGCCATGATGAACATGATGCTGCTGTGTTAAGCCCTCTGGATGCACGGACACTGAGGTTAAGAATGGGGAAACTCAGAGAAGTGACACCTTTGTAGTATAAATCCCTAGAAAGTAGGGATTTAGGCAAAGTAGGTGGATTACTAATATAGACTAATATCTGCTAATAGACTTATATTTTCATGACTCGGAGGAGTTTTAAGGAGTCCTCAGGTCAGCCTGGCAGTCATAAAGAGGTGCCAGCATGATTCAGATAACACAAAGCAGGCTCAGAGGGTGCTTTGTGACTTAAGTTTTCTTTTGATGAGCTGACTTCCCACTGATGATTTCAGCTCAATGAACCATCAAGTAAGTAAAAGAAAAGCAACTTCTGAAAGAGACATATAAACTTCTAACATTTTTGAACAAACACTTTCATAAGATAGTAAGATAGCAGATGGGGTCAATCCAACAGGAGCCACTTATTATGGTTTGATAGAAAAAAAATTCCAGATCTGAAATATTAAACAACCCTGAAATAACTGAGTCACAGATAACAGCAGGTTTTATTAATGAAATGCTTCATCGTATGGTTTGCGCATAGGGTAGTTCAGGGTTTTAGTGATTATTCATAAAATTGCAAAAGTTTAAGGTAACAAGTGCTGTAACAAAATTATGGGGGGTTATGCAAAATGCTAAATGAACTTAAGAGAAGGCTGATCAAGTATATAAAGGAAGAAAAGATGAATGAAAAATAGATTTATGAAGGAAACTTTATATAAACTGGTGAGTTCTCAATGTGCAGAAGAGGGTGTGAAAGACATGAATCTGACAATAGTTTAAAAATTAAGTAAGAAAAGCACGTAACTTATGTGCTGACTTGTGTCTTGGCTCCACAGGGCTTATGTCATCTCTTAAAATATTTTGAGCTGTTTAGAAATGAGAATTGAATAGTGTAAAATGTATGGAATAAATTATATTAGGAGAGATTTTATCAAGAAGAGAGCAGAAAATTTTATCTAGCCTTTCTAAAAACACCAAGCTGTTTCAAGAATAAATAGGCACACACTACTCAAAGTCTCGAATTCACTCCAGCAGTCTGTCAGATACTACTAAAAATTTTAAGTTTGTGATCTTTTTCTCATTCTGACCACTGAACATTGTTAAATTATGGTGATATGAAAAATAAAATGTAATATTTCAGGGTGTACATCTTGTTGATTGCATGAAATTATTAGGATTGTCTAACTTGATATTTAATTGATCTAATTGGCTTGGCTTGGCTAGTTTCAGCTTTTCAGTATCAGGGACTGTCCATGACCAACTGCAAGGTGTCAGGCATGATTTTTTGGCAGTAGAGTAGTCACCAAGCAGACAGTAAGACCTTGAAGGGCAAAGGTTATTGGCTTGTGGAGCTGCAAAACTCGTTCCTGCTTACTACCATATGTTTTTTTAATTTATCATATCAGCATGTGGGGAGATTTTGAGGGCAGGTGGAAGCTGTGGAAACAATTACAAGTGTGACTGTAACTATAAAAGTCACTTTATAATGCCTCATAGGATTAGAAATCATGACTTGCATCTGTAGTTAGTAAAAAGGAAAAGCGCAAACAGCACAAGGAACTCTGATCTTAAAAGTGCTTTTCTGGAGCATAGACTTGATGTACCTTAGAGCTGTGTAGTTAATTGCAAATAAACTGCTAGTACTCTTAAGATATGTTGTCTGAATTCTACAGCTGCAAACCTAATATACAAACCCTATTTTTTAGAGACCTGAATTGTTCTAGTTTGCTTCCTTTTTTAATTAGGATTTCAAATTGTCCAAATCCAAGCATCAGATTAGATAATTTATTTAGTAGCACATTCCACTTGCTTGCACTTGCTGAGAAGATGACAGGCAATATCTTTTATCATGTTACTTTCTGCAGCAGGGGACTTGTAGTCAAAAGAGGGTACATGTCTTGCTGTAATTTTAAGTGATTCTTTACTAAATGTTGTTTCACCAATAAATAAAGAAGGATAGAACTTACGTTCCTACACGGGTAAATTTTTACTCTATTGTGATTAATGTAAAACAACAATAGGTCTGAACTGATAAATACATATGACTTTCTGGGGAATTCATTTTCTATGGAACTCTACTGGGAAGTAGAAACAGTTTTGTACAATTGGAGTTTTCACTGACTAGGTTCACTCTGTGAATCGCTAGCCTCCACATGCTGTGTAGCTGTCAAAAGGAAATACAGCATGCAGAGAGCATAAAACGAGCTGTCCTGTACCATTAGCAATAATCCTTTTCAGCCACAGAGTGAACACTGGGAGACGTTTTTGTCTTTCCATAAAGTCTGCCAGGTAGCAGAAAGAGGTGGAATAGGTACCTCAATTTCACGTGCTGCTTATCAAAAGAACAATCCGACTATTAAATCACTGACGTGTAACTACAGCTCCGAGTTTAAAAAAAAATAATAAAAAAGTAGGCTAGGTCTCCAAGTAGAACTGCGTATTTCTTCAGCTTTCTTCAAAGTATGCCTTCTGGTTTTCATGTGGTCTGGGTAGATTTGTTATACACACTACACATATACACACATAGACATTATATATATCTACACATTATACATGTACATATATATGCATATTATACCTATAATATGCGTATTATTCCTATGGACATATACTCATTATACATATCTACACTTTATAGACATACACGCATACATATTACACAAATACACACACCTGTTGTACGTGTGCACGCATCACGCACATAAACACACACCTATTGTACATATGTACACACACACCTCGTACATACAATTCACATTATCCGCGCGCACACAAACACTGCACAGCGATCCGCACCCGCCGCGGGGCAGCTGTGCCATCTAGCGGCCTTGCCGGGGAGCAACAACTTATTTATCAATAATTTATTTACAAATCCTCTATTTGCAGCATAAAAAATAGGGAAACTTAAACGCGAACTTAAATCTGTACACAAATAGGGAAAGCTGCTTACAGAACAAACAGTCAGAATAATAAATAAAATAACAAAATTACGATCTTATAAATAAAGTTATAATTGAGTTATTTATAAATAAAATTAATGATGAAAAATAAAATTATGTCTAAAATAGTTTAAAATAAAGCCGAATATTAAAAAAAGAAGGAAAGATTTTTACAAATTTTTTTTTCAAAAGCCATAAAAATAAGTTCATCATGCATAGGAATACTCTTTGAAGCACCAGAATGAAACAGATCACTGAGGCCAAGAAATTAGTAGTCAGAAAGACATCTGCAGTGTTATAAATCATTAGAAAAGTAACTGTGGGCAAAACTGGCATCACTATATTGCTTTTTAAATTCAACATTTTCCCGTATCTTGAGTTCACTAGGTTACCCATAAACCAAGAGAAAAGTACTGAGAAAGGAAGTATACTCCATCTTCAGTTTGACAATCCATTTGAGAGAGACTGCAGGCAGAGGGCTTCCACAGAGGGTCTCTGCGTTATTCTAAACATACCACTGGAAGCTTTCGAGAATATTCCATCTCTGAATATTGACAGGGCTGAATGCCACCACATTGCCCCCCTGCAAGAAAATTTCTCAAGAATTGTGAAATTTTCCACTGGACTTGGATGGCTTCACATGGAGGACATGTAAAAAAGTTACTTATGAGGGCTATTCTAATTTGGCTCATTTATTTAAATGCTTGCTTGCCTCCATGACTGTAACCTCATAGCTAGGAAGGCCTTGATTCATTTCAGGACCCAAGGATGAGATTCTAAAAACCTCGTAATTTTGCTACTAGATTTTTATTGTATCAGATGAAAATAAAATTAAGGGATTTATTTTGACTTACCGTAAGGAACCTGAAGAAAATAAAATCTTCCATTATTCACTTTTCAGTTGCTTTCCTAAGCCTTTCTCTAACTGGACACTGCTTAGGTCTTGCTAAAATGGAGAAGAGCTATTTGAGACTAATAACACAACAATTTATGCCATTTTGGACTGTGCCTTACAGCAGTATTTACAAGAGTGGTTTCTAAACAAGGAAAGATACCAGCTGAAGAAGAAAGTAGCAGAGTAAGCTAAAGAATACATTTCTGTGTAGAAGACAGGGCCCTTCAGTTTTAAAATTTGTGCATGATAAACTAGAATCACTAATTAAATAGTCACTTCACACATCAACATCAACATCTTAAACTCTTGACCACTTCATCAGTATTTTTTTAAGTAAAATCAAAATGTTGGCTTGTGTAGGAGAACAGTGTAGTCTAGTGCTGAAATAATCTCAATATCTTGGCCTGTTAAAAATCTCCTAGCTGGGCAACCTGTCTTTTTGGGGTTTTCTTCCTCTTTTTTTTTTTTTTTCACTTTTCTGTTTTTCTAAACCATGCTGCAGCAAGCAAACACTTGCAGTTATATAAACAGTTCCAGTAAGGATAGGTGCCAGGAAAATACATTTCTAAACATGGAAATTGACAACTCAGGACTTGCTTACGGAGTCTCATGTACATGGATTATCATGTGTGTTTCAGTTCATTTCTAAGTGATTATTGCTAGAGGAACTCGTCAGGTCTCCCTGGTCAGTTATGTCTTTGCAGGTTGCATGAGACTTGATGTGTACCAAGGAAGCAGGATCCAGGTCTACATCTTTGTTCCTGGAAAATTTTAAAGACACCAGCCAAAATTTGGAAGTTCAGGGATTAAATACGAGGTGAAAGAGAGAGAAAAACCCAGTCTTTTTCTACATGTAACAAACAAAGGTGGTACAATTTTCATCTGGTTTTATTTTGCGGTTTCCATAAACTAATTCATGGCTGCCAATCTGAGATGCCTAACTTTGCCAGCCTGCTCTTCTGCTGTAGCTTACATCTGCAGATCTAGATCTCTGCTTTGAAGTAAGCTTTTCTATCCTGATGCAATTAGATAATTGTGTCTTCCTTTTCCCCCTTCTCCTTGGGTAGGTCCGTGTCTTTGTGAACCAGCTGTACCGGCCTGCATCAGTGGAAGATGTCAGGCAAAACCCTGACCTGCAAGCCATCCGCATTGCCTCAGTGAACCCCATTTTGGACCCGTGGATCTACATCCTCCTCCGCAAGACGGTGCTCAGCAAAGCCATCGAGAAGATCAAATGCCTCTTCTGCCGCATTGGGGGGGCTCGGAGGCAGCACTCAGGGGGCAACTTCAACTGTGTGGATGGGCGCAGGACCTCCTCTGCCGTGTCCAGCCAGTCGCCCTCCTTCATCTCACGCGAGCTGAGGGAGATCAGCAGCACCTCCCAGACGCTGCTGTACCCTCCAGAGCTGAGCGAGAGCAGTGTTGGGGGCCGTGTGCTTCTCCCGGGCCCCAGCGCCAGCTCGGCTCAGTCCGACACCACCTCCGTAAGGACGCTGCGGAGCTCCGACACCTCAGACTCCTCACAGGGACACGACTCTGAGAGCGTCTTCCTGGTGAGCGAAATCAGCTCTGGTGGCGGGGCCAGCTCTGCACCCAAGAGTGGCCCTCTCCAGGTCACCTTCCCCACAGAGACATTGAATTTGTCAGAAAAGTGCATATAGATAGCCATGAAAGGCATCAACCCTGGGGATACTTCCTGGTACATTGGAAAAACTGGTGCAATAGATAGGTGTTCTGCCTATTTGTGGGAAGAGGGGTTCAGCTGTGCTTCAAAGGGCTAATTTTCCTCTTGCTGTGCGATGGGTACATTTCCTTTAGACTACTGAGGACTGTGTGGAACAGGCATTGCACTTGGGCCCTGCGTCGGAAATGGTATAAAGCAGGTCTGATGGGACTGGAAACATGAACTACCTTGTCTTGTTGTAGGACACAGGACAGCTACTGTGCCTCTGGAAATAGAAAGACCCCATCACTTGCTTTTTTTATTTTTTTTCTTTCCCTTTCCAAGTCTGGTAAAATTGTTCTTGCTCCTTCCCTATGGCTGCTCAGCTATCAAGAATTTAAGCTTCTGGTACTAGAGCTGAATATGAGGCAGCTGCTAGGAACTGGACACAGCTACTCTGAGAGCTGCCTACAGTAGGATTTTAAAGTGTCTCACTAAAGCATGAAAATGTGAATTTTTATTATTGTATATATATATCAGGATAGAAAATATTTAAAAGTGTATTCTTCTCTATGAGAAGGTTTGTTAGGAATACAAGGTATACAGAAATGATTGCCAGCCTTCTCTTCCCTCAGTATTTCCTGCTGATAAGGCATTCTTACCTTAGATTTGTTGTTCATGCTAGATTCACAGCTGATGAGATAATTCTCGAGCTGAGAATACATAAGCACTTTCTGAGTGAAATGGGAATATATGCCTTTCTAAGAGAAAAAGAAAACACATCCTTCCAGTTAAGAATATTAGTTTTCAGTATATGTATATACTAAAAAAAATCAGATTTTATTTATGTTCTGAGAACGTTTTTCTGTGTAACACACGTGCACCTCTCTGAGTACTTTGGCCCACAGTCTGCACACCTGAGGCACACACTTCACATTGCCCATCAGAGTGGTCCCTCTGCTGCCAGGGAGACTCCTTACATATAAAGTTAAGGACATATAGAAGTGCTTTCAATATCAGGGCCTGAAACTTTCAACTCCTGGTTAATAGTCTTAATATTCACTTTAGTTAAAGCATCACTGATGTAATAAAGGTATTTTTTCATAACATTTATCATTTTACTTTAAATAGTAAATAGAATATTATGACTGTGTAATCTGATACTCCATCAAATAAATGTATGAAACAATGGAAGCAGAATCTTCATTTGTAGATTATATAGAACTATATTGCAGTCTTAAACACCTTGAAAAGCATTTGTTGCTAGAGTTTTGATGACAAACACATCACCAAAACCAGCTGTTAACCACTGACAAAAAGGAGTTTTGTGTTTTATGTTGTAAGGGTTAGATCTTGTTCCAGAAATACTGTGTATCAAAATAATTCTGTACAGATATTTGGGGGACCTTTTGTCAAATACAAAGTATGTTATGCTGCTTAAAGTGTTTTCATGTGAATGCTACATTGTAATGAAAATCTTGAGCCTTAATGTTGATATGTTTAAGCAGTTGTACCGACCAAAGCAACTTTGGGGATCACAATTAAATGGAAATGTTCTGCTTGATCTCAGATGTCTACATGAGTCTGCCATTCAGTGCCAACTCCTTGCCTTAACAAGCCTCCCATCTTGGAATGCTTTGCACTCAGTTACTGCCAAAACATACGTTGTCCTGCAAGTTTCCAAAACACCACAGCCTGATTGATCATCGTCAGCAAGAACCAGCAGTCTTCAAAACTATCCTAAAAAGCCGCACAGAGCCGCAGAAATTCTTTATTTGAGCAAAGACATTTTCCTTTAACAGGGTAGTTGAGCTTGTTTGCCTTCATACATATAGAAAGTGAACTTAAATCTGTACACAAATATTTGCAGCAGCAACAGCCACTTTTCACCAGTTAAGCTGGAGAATAGTATTACCCAAGCTCCTACTGCGGCTACAGATAAAGATCTGCTTGAATTCTTTGCAATTAAACCACCTCACTATGGTCTGTTGCTAGTGACCAACAAATAGAACAGACTCACCATACTTCCCAAGGCAGGAAATAGCACCTGGCAGAGCAGGAAGGTGGGACTGCCATAGGCAGATAACACTGTATGTACCAAGATGCAACCACACCTTTGCAGCTGTCCCACAGCAGCACACCAATATTTTTGGTACTTTATGCAATGACAGAATTAAGGATCTATAGTGTTTTAGTATTTAAAAGGGATTCACTGTTTTTAAAATTACTTCATTAACATACTTTTATTACTCCTTGTCATCATTACTGATGAGAACTGCACATGGTCTAAAAGAGCTTTAAGCAAGAATAGATCATCTTAAGTAGCTTCCTTTAGCAAACACAACAGGCCTGAGGTCCTCCTCCTGCCCCCAGCATTCGCAACGTGTCAGTAGTGGACTAGACTCATTATCAACATGAACTCCCTCAGAAATGAATTCCATGATTTTCAAACAGCCCACAAAATCTCCTGAGCAAATACTGGATTTGCTGGCAGTGCACAAAGGCAAAATCGGAGCACTTCAGTTGTCTTGTTGCAAACACAGATGAGTATTCAGGAGCAGTTGGGCAGAAGGACTGGGCAAGTGTGCCTTTTTTAGGGTGACAGTAGAGACATCTCTCTCACCTGCCTTAGAGTCCCACTCAGGTTTAGCTCCTTACAATGCTGACCAGAGGCACATTATAAGGAATGAACAACATTCCTTGGCCTCTCTGAGCTTAACAAGTCTAAAATGAGGCTACAAGTTTGAAGAGTCTAATTTGCTATATGGAGGCTAAAAGGTTATTTTCTTGCTAGGTATTATGAGTAGTTTCAATGTATACAAAAGGGTTTCCTTTCTCACACAAAAATATCTCCCCTATCTCACCTATCTCCCCTATCTCTACCCCAGAGTTCCATGTTCTCTCAGAACGGCCTTTCACATCACCATCGACATTCTCCAGTCCTCCATGTTTACAGAAAATGTACTGCTTCAAACATTTCTCATACTAAACTTGTATCTCTCAAATTCTGTCCACCCTGCTAGTCCTGTGACCAGCAGTCTCCCTCCCTCCCTTCCAGCAGTCCATCCTGCCCGCACATCCCAGATCACGGCTTTGCTGAACCCTTTACAGACACTGCTAGACCTCCAGCCCCACAACCACACCCCAAACCCCAGCCCTAACTCAATTTAAGACCCTGTCCTGTGGCAGGGCTTGGAGGTTCCACCCACCACAGGCAGGATGAGAGCCGGTATCTGTGCCAGACAGTGGTTTCTGTGAAGATCTGTAGATTAGTTTGAATCTCTGATCCATGGTAAGTTAGCCTTATGAACGGTTAAGGGTGTAGGGTGTACTGTCAGAGGGCTTGGGCTGTTTTAAATCAGGCTCACACATTCCTGCTGTCGGGAACACCAGTGCTGCCTGACCCGAACTGGCATTACAGGCCCAGTGCCAATGCCCAGGATCTGCTGTCTTCAAATGGCACAGCCAACATCCTAAGTGAGGAAGCTTTTGAGGTTTTATTTTTGCTGTCAGACACAACAGCAAACCTGGTCCACTTAAGGCAGATTTACTATTAAAGGTAGCAAATAACACCAGGCCTTTGCACCCCAGGCTCTCTTGTTGGCCTGCCAGCTTTACAGATCTAGAAACTCAGTGAATCTCCTGCTTTGTGAAACCAAAGCTCAATTCCTTCACCTAATATTTCCCTTTGATCATTTTTCCTTTACAACCCTTACAGCTCCTAGCCTTGTGGCTCTTAGGAAATCAGCCCTGATTTCCTAAGAGCCTGAATCCTGCCGGGCAGCACACCTGGCAGGATTCAGCAGTCACCCATGCCCATCAGCCCCTCTGGAGATACCAGCCCAGGGACTCCAGCACATCTTGGAACACCATATTAATATAACAGTGACCTACAGTAAACACATAGCACCTGCAACCTGTCAACAAACCAAGCCCACATTTCTGCTTTCCTGTGCCCCAGTCCTAACTACAGTCATTATAGTTTTATAGCAATTCTGTGAACTCAAAATAAAGATAGCATCTCAATGCTAGTATTTTACCTCCTCTCCCTTGGTTTTAGGATTGGGAGGGAACTTACCTTGTGTGGGCAAGCAAGTTTCCAGTGCTACCTCTCTGATCTTGATCTCTAAACCCAGAGTAAACTCCATTTGCTTTCTATCCCTCTCCATGACTACTTTTAAAATACAGTGTCTTATGGTATTACCAAGAGTCACTGTTGTGTTATCCAATCTTGATTCCTTTTTTATCCTCCAGTACTGTCAGAAAGGATTTATTTCTCTCTCAGTACATTTAAGGTTTTAAAAGGTAATTATCTCCATCTATCAGAGAGGAAGTCACATGCTCAGTTTCAGCATTTGAGGTTAAATGCCAGTCAGTCACCTTGAGCTTCCTTTGTAGTCAAGGGAAATAATTAGGCACCTTGGGAGGCTGATTCGACTCATTCTGATACTTATCTAACAAGGCATATGAGTGGCCCTGTGAGGCTGTGTATTTCTTTCCACTGGATACAAAGGGACTCAAAGGGAAAAATATATCTGAATGTTTAACTGTAGATTTTTTTAATCAAGCAAAATGAATCTAACCCAGTGTTGTTCTTGTTCTTTCCTCTTGAATGCAACAGTTTAGCATTTTAATATGTGATTCATATGGAAGGCAAACACATGAAAGCTGCTGCTATCACTGCCACTAATGTTAATGGAAGACAATAAAATCATTTTCTAATGTCGAAGAGGGAGTGTATTTCACTAATATCCTGTTTGGATAATATCTCCTTTTGCTCCATCTCATGTGGACATCCCTGAAAGGTTTAAAAGCTCTGAGCATCACCTTTTGTTAAATATTTTTCCCCAAGATATATTTTCTTTTTTACTAAAATAAATTAACATGTTCACCAGAGACAAAAGCCAATTATTAAATGAGGAACATTCCGGAATGGGAAATAATACTTATTTTTGTTACAACCCAAAGAATAAACAGCATCACTAAGCAGCAGAAATC